GGTAGTACGAACATGTGCGCAAAAGAGAAGAGAACCACATCACAAAGTTAGCGTTGACGGTGAAGGCACCAGGTAAAAGGCCTAGGGGTAGACCTAAGATGAGGTGGTGGGACAGATCAAGGTCGCCCTGCGAGAACTTGGGATAGATGAAGACCCTGCCTCAGACAGAAGGAGGTGGAGACAACTGACGAGGAAAGCAGGCCCTTCATAAGCGTGAGGAATGCGAGGACAAAAAAATTCTACGGCAGCTATAACTTCCGTTATAGTATTGCGTGAACGACGGCCGCAAACTCAAGGACCTCTACAATCTATCTCATGCCTATACTACGCTTGACCCCGCATTATCATAGAAGGACATATTACACTAGAATTGTCTGCCCAGTTAGAACAACATGATGCATGTATGGCATACGTTTGTCGTTTCAGGAGGAGTTTGGATTGACTGCACTACGCATAAATGTAGTACTTTGAGTTCATTGGAAATAACCCAGAAAAAAGCTCATTGGAACCCTTCTTGGGTTGAAAAAATCAAAACAAAACAATCTCCATGCGACAAGCAGATAATGTAGGCGCAAAACACATCGATATTCAAACTTCATTGACTGATGGTAATAGGACCCGTTCAAGTAATGTCAAAAGAAATTACGCACCTACAGAAAAATCAAGTAAACTGCCACAGTCACCACGTTGCTTCCGTGGAATCAAGTGCAAACAAATGACTTCAAAGTACTTTTCCTTCTCTTTTCTCTCCATTCCTCTTCTAGCATTGTCATGGCCTTCCGCGATAGTGTCCACCTCCCTGATCCACCCGTTTGTGTGGAGGACCTGACTGATGCGCAGGAGGTGGTCGCTTGTGCGAGGGAGCTCCTGCTCGAACTCCTTGTGAACGACGCGGATCGGCAGCAACATTGTTGGACTGACTTGAATTCTGAAATTAACTTTTCTACTTCACAAATCTCAGCAAGAGAGCTATGAGAAGATAACTCACCTCTCCCTCTGGAGGTGGCGACGGTTTTCGAGCTCGTTCCATAGCTGCATACTCGCTATTGAACTCACTCATATTAGGCGTTTCAGAGTAAACCAACATGAAATCGCCAGACTTCATAAACTCGCCTTGCCTTCCGCAGGATAGATTTAGCATACCCTAGAACGTCACGTCAACTTTCGTGAAAACAGCATGAACGTATGCTTCTCACTGACCCCAATAGCCTCAATGACCAGCAAAAAAATATTTGCAGATACGTAACATCTTAACATATTCATGACTCACTCTATATATGTTAGTGAATCCATTCTTGATTTTCACTATATCTCCCGGCTCGAACAGATCCTGTATCTCAGCATTCATGATACTGAAGATGATAGATCCCGAAGGGTCGGCAATACGCATGCTTACGACTAAGCCACCGTTTGCCAGCCGTCGAACAGGATCTGCAAGCAGCACAATATATTTTGTCAGTTATAGAGGGAGCTTGATTACCCATTTTAGTTATGCACAACGCACTATGGAGAGGAGAAAGAATCTTGAATACAATGCAAAAAAAAA